GGATTCAAGGAGAGATCTGGGCTAGAGATACGCATTTGAATGAGATCTCCAAAGGAGTAACTGCAAATCAAAATGAGAAGAGGTCCAAGGATTGAGCCATGGGGAACACTAGTGTTACAATTTGGATGATAAAAAGGAGGCAGCAGAAGAGACTAAGAAGGAGTCACCAAGGAGCTAGAAGGAAAATCTAGAGGAGAGTGTGGTTCAGGAGAGACGGAGGAATCAACTGTGTCAAATGCTGCTGATGGGGTGTGTACGATCAAGGCTGAAAGTTAATCATTGGATTTAGCAATCTGGCCGGTTTAGGTGGTCTGGGCAAGAGAAGTTTCAGTGGAGAAGTCGGGGGTGAAAGCTTCATTAAAGTGTCTTTAAGAAAGAATGGGAAGAGAAAATACAGAGACAACAAATACAAATCGTTCTTTCAATATGTTTCACTGTAAAGGAACAGAGAGAAACAGAATGATAACTGGAGTATGAAGTTGGGTCAAAAGAGAGTTCTTTCTATTTTAGATGAGAGAAATAAATACATGTTTTCATGCTAATAAAAACTATATATTTGAGATGGAAAATTGATGTTGGGAAGAGTGGAGGAAGAATTTTTAGAGAAATGTCCTTGAAGCAATAAGAAAAGAATGACCACAAGTATCTCTCATTGCATGGACTCACCTATCTGCCTCTGTGCCCATAGATGCAACCTTTCCGCAGTGCTAAGGGTGTCCTGTCCATACTCATTGGTAAGGCCAACCCTTCACTTTGCTTCTGAGACCCCATACCCACTCAGACACACTCAAATACATTGCCCCCAAAAGAGATAAAATGTAGTAAGCTTTAAAAACTGAAATGTACAAACAATACAATTTGTGGAAATTGTTTCTGTTTGCACTCATCTCTCAGGAGTGAAAAATGCAACTGCAGTTAGCGCACACACACACATGCGTGAGCACATGTGGGTGCACAGTTGAGGTTGAGTATCTCGGCTACTTCTCTGTACTATGATACAAATTACATTATCAATATTTTTATGCTCACGTTTATTAATCACTTACTATTATAATTCCCGTTTAACAGGTGAGACCATTGGTAACTTGCCCCAGGCAACATAAGTAGTAAGAGGTAAAGCCAGTATTAAAAGCTAAGCATACTTGCTCTTTGCCCTTATATTGTGTTGATTTCTGGTATGTAAAGGTGAATCTCAGGGTTAAAGAAGTTAGAGGCTGGGCACGGTGGCTCATGCCTGCAATCCCAGCACTTTGGGAGGCCGAGGCGGGCAGATCACAAGGTCAGGAGACCGAGACCATCCTGGCTAACACGGCGAAACCCTGTCTCTACTAAAAATAAAAAAATAAAAAATAAAAAATTAGCTGGGCATGGTGGTGGGTGCCTGTAGCCCCAGCTACTCAGGAGGCTGAGGCAGGAGAATGGTGTGAACCCAGGAGGCAGAGCTTGCAGTGAGCCGAGATCATGCCACTGCACTGCAGCCTGGGCAACAGAGCAAGACTTCGTCTCACAAAAAAAAAAAGAAAGAAAGAAGTTAGGAGATAGACTGAGAAGACAAGTAGTATTATGAAAAGGTAAAGGAACAAGGAAAATTGGGGTGCATAATGAAGCTGGGTGCTGCCCAGACTGTGGTTCTTACGTACTTTGGCCTCTAGTAGCCATAGACTTGAATCTTGGTATACAACCGCTTATAAGCTGAGTGGTCATGGGCAGTTTATCAGATTTTTATGGATCTCTGTTTCCGTTTTTAATCATGAAGGTAATATCATTTATTGTAAATGATGAAGATTAAGTGGGCTTATATATGCAAAAATACAAAGTAGTGCCAATCTTTGTTTTTCTTAATTTTTACTTCTAAATTTCATATTATTGTTTTACTTCCAGTGTATTTGTTCAGCTATCTTCTATTTATGGCAAGTGATATTTGTTTTCCATTTATGACTGATATAAAAGCTTTTTGTAAAATTATTATTTTATAAAGTGAGTTATTTAAAGAAATATACGAAATTAAGATATTGTAGATGATATGACAAATCTGACAAAAATTGTGAAGGTGGCCCGAGAATGATAGAATTCTGCATTACTTGGCTAGTCCTCGTGGTGGACACACTCTAAGGTCTGTGATGCCTGCTTCCTTTTCACACCTTTGGATAATCCCTTCCCCTTGAGTTCAGGTGGAAACTGTGGCTTATATTTAAGCAATAGAATATGGTCTTTACCATCATAGAATATGACAAATGTAATGGGATGTCCCTCCTGTGATTTTCTTACGGTATATAAGATCTCATCTCAGCAGACTGGCATTAGAGAGACCCTCCTTGCTGGCTTTGAAGAAGTAAGCTACCATACTGTGAGACAGCCTATGAAGAGGGCCACATAGCAAAGAAAGGTGGGGTAGCCTCTAGGATCTGGGAGTCACTCCCAGCTGACATCCAGCGACAAGCAGAGATCTTAGTCCTGTAGCCACAAGGAGATGAATTCTGCCAATAACTGAGAATCCTGGAAGCAGGTCTTTCTTCAGTTGAGCCACTGATGAGACTACAGCCCCAGGCAAGACCTACGTCATAGCCTGGTGAGACCCTAAAGCAGAGAACCCAGCTCAGCTGTGCCTGACTGCCACACTCTAGAAACTGTGAGATAATTAATATGTGTAGTTGTAAGCCTCCAAGCCTATAGTAATTTATTATGCAGCAATAGGTAATTAATACAGTGATTAAAAGTCTGAGATCAGACATTCTGAGTGTTCGTTTGGTTCTACCATTACAAGCTGTGTGCCCTTGTAAAAGTTAACTTATCTGCAAAATAAGGCTAATAATGGGATTTATCTCGTGGGTTATTTTAATTAAATGAGATCATTTATATCGAATGCTTATCTCTGTGCCTTTTACATGGTAAGCATTTAGTAAACTACATTATTGTCATCATTACCGTTATCATAACAGCTAAATACAATGTGTTAACACTTTTACTTTAGAATAGTTTTCAAGGTAAACTTTAAGAAAATTTTTCATACAGTTTATAAATCCTTTATAATGCAACCATTAGGAATAGCAACGTCGGCGGGTCATATGTTGCTACTGTGTATGCATTAATGAGATTTATACTTTAATGCTCTTGAAAGAACTGGGAATACATTTGGTAACAAGTTTAGCATGATCGAGGTTCAGATGTTTATCTGCTTGGAGAGGATTTGGTTTTCGATTCATCTGGGTATAAAGTTATAGATCAATTCAGAGCTTAAAAACAAAAAAAAGAAAAACAACAACAACAAAACTGTGTTTGATTGTCCACAGTGTTTCTTTACCCCATTCAAGGGAAATCTTCACAAAGATTTCCCTATTTAAAGAGCTAATCTCATGCAGATGGCTCTCTGCCCTTGTAGGCTTCCTGCCCAAATTCCCCTAATTTCATCCCCATTTCTATACTGCAACCACATCCAGCTTGTTGCTGTAGGTGCTCTCTCGGCATCCAGAACTCAGAGGATACCAGAATGACAGTGTTGTCCCTTCCTTCACAGTTGAAATATGGTAACGAGTGTCTCAAATAAATCAGTGTCAGGACTATGTGCACTACCCAGATTTCTGTCCTCTAGTGCTTTCTGTTCTGAAAAAAAAAAAAAAAAAAAAAGAAAATCAGACTTCTTCACCCAATAATCTCCACTTCACTCCACTCAAGCTTCTTATATGTCATGCACATGTATTACCAAGGGTCTCAAGGTGAGGTGAAGAGAAAGGAGAATTTAGGACAGTCATAACCAAAGAAAGGAGAAAGCAGATTTTCTTCTGAACCTCAGAGCCCTGGAGATTCCTTGAGTGTCTTTCAGGAGCTACCAATGTCAGTCCACACTTGCGGTGGCTTTTCTGTTAACTTGTGTCTTAGGCTGGATTTCCTAAGCATAAGCAGAACTTGAGGTGAGAATTCTTCAAGTTGTTGATGGGTGGGGCAATCTTAGGAGAAAGGGGAGTGAGAGGAGCAGAAAAGAACAGCTAAGCCAAAAGTGGGGCCTCAGCTGGACACTTCAGCCTGATCCCACAGGGGAGCTCGGTAATCAGCAGGTGCAGCATAGAGCTGGTCCACTTTTCAGACACGGGCCCCCACGTCAGTCAGTCATTGGCTGAGGTCTGTGGAGGTGGTGGGAGGTAGGCACTGCCTGTTTGGCTGAGGGTCATTCCAGGCACCATCAGCGTACATTACCATTGGTATTGAGTTAGTAGTAGAGATGCTGCCAAATCTGTGGTATTCAGACAGCCCTTTTTGAGATGCCAGCAAACACGAAATTCATGGGGGTCCTTGACCAAGTGAAGAGAGAACAAGTACACATTGGAATTTATTCTGTTTTAATTTGTTCTTCTAATTTTGGGATGCTATGTCTAAAAGGTAAAGATTCCATGTTGCTAGTGTCATCATTTTGAGGGAAGACATACATGTGGCCAACAAGCGTATTAAAAGCTCAATATCACTGCATTAGAGAAATGAAAATTAAAACCACAATGAGATACCATCTCACACCAGTCAGAATGGTATTATTAATACTAAAAGGTCAAAAAATAACAGATGTTGGCGAAGTTGTGGAGAAAAGGGAATGTTTAGACACTGCTGGTGGGAGTGTAGATTAGTTCAATCATTGTGGAAAGCAGTGTGGAGATTCTTCAAAGAGCTAAAAACAGAACTACCATTCAACTCAACAATCCCATTACTGTGTATATACCCAAAGGAATATAAGTCATTCTACCATATAGACACATACACATGTATGTTCACTGCAGCACTATTCACAATAGCAAAGACATGTAATCCACCTAAATGCTCATCAATGGCAGGTTGGATAAAGAAAATATGGTACTCACACATCATAGAATATTATACAGCTATAAAAAAGAACAAGATCATGTTCTTTGTAGGGACATGGATGGAGCTGGAGGCCATTATCCTTAGCAAACTAACGCAGGAACAGAAAGCCAAATACTGCCTATTTTTACTTATAAATGGGAGCTGAACAATGAGAACACATGGACACATGTCTCTCCTGTTTTGAGAGAGGGACTTTGTCTTACTGGTTTTTATATTCCAAAGACTTATTACAGTGCTTAGCTTGTGGAATCCTGAGTTTGCTACAAAAAGATTGTGGATAGCTGATTTTCACATCTGAGTCTGGGTAACAACAGTCAATTCATCTCTGGGGTTTTTCAACATTGACCCTATTGACATTTAGGGCTGGATAATTCTTTGTTGTAGAGGGCTATTCTGTGCTTTACAGGATATTTGGCAGCATCTCTAGCCTCTACCCACTAAATGTCAGTAGCACCTCCTTCAAATAATAACAACCAAACATACCTCCAAGCATTGTCACACGTCCTGGTGTCGGGGGAGGGAGGAATCATCCCTAGCTGAGAATCCCTGGATTTGACCCTTGATCCAACATTATATGGTTTGTTGTAGTGTCCAGGGGGTAGGGCTTCCATTCTTTTATCCATGTTGGACCAGCTTATTTCAGCACTCTTAACATCAGACTCTTGAATCAGAAAAGAGGCCTATGTGTTTGAGGGGAAGAATAGAGTATGTGAAGACTGGCTCTCAAGTCAGACAGCTGGGATTTAGATCCACTTACTACTTCACCACTTACTAAGTAACTGGGTAAAGCTGTTAATCTCTCTGTGCCTTAGTTTCTTTGTTTGTTAAGTATCAGATGATTCCCATCTCAAGGGCTATTATGAGGACAAAATGAGTTAATAAATTACAATATGCTTAGGAAAGAGTCTGGACATATTGACAACTTTAATGCATGGCTGTTGTTGATATTGATGGTATTGATAAAGAAGGGAGTGACTTCAATCCCTGGTCATCCTGTTCCTGAAGCTCAGGCATTCAACTCTGTCACCTCTTGGGCTGAGAGTCCTTGTGTATCTCAGGAAAGCTGAAGGGACCTGGTAGATGGCAAGAGATACAATGATAAGTCTCACCTCATCACTAGGACTCAGTCCACCTACCACTGCCCCATAGCAGTCTATAGAATCAGGGCTGTATTCTTGCTGGTTCATCTTGTTAGGGCAGTTTTATCAAATTGGTGATGGTTTGAGAGAAGGTGCTCTCTCTCCTTTTCCTCTCAGTCTTGCTCTAATTTCTGAGACCGGTTTAAAGATCTAAGGGCCTCATTATCGCCTCAACTGCTTTTGCTTATTTAGATAGACAAAGTTTAATCAAAACATTTATGTTGCCAGGTCAAGATGACCAGTACAAAGTTATCTTGATTTACTCGAAGAATTATTCCAAATCAACACGTATTTCATATGACTCATGCATATTACTTCAGTCAAGACAGACCAACTTTAAAGGGAAAAATACCCATTATACAAGGCACAGCTGAGAAACTAGTCATATTATGAACTATTGTCATCCCACAAAAAGAAACTTACTTAATCTAAAAGAGTTTCTCAGCAGTCCAAATTTAACTTCTCTGATATAAAGCACGTTTTGCATTGTCATCATTATGTGCCAAATGTGGGCATTGTATTATATTTATGAAAGGAACTGAAATCCTTTCTTTGTGATATTTTTGCTCCTGCTGTTTTTGCTATGTGATGTTAAATTGCTGAAAATTATGCAAAGTATATATCATGAATATGACACTAATTATTCATTAATGGCATGGAGAGATTTAAAAGCTTTGAAGCAACCTGGAGAACTGTAAATCCGTTTACAATCTCCTGCTTGTAACGTTTACAAGTGAAAAATTTGAAAAAGATGAAGTGTAAGCTGAGTATTATTAATTGAACTTGACATACCTTAGTTGCAAAAGTGATGATGCCGCACTGCCTCTTGAGGCAAGGGCCCTGGCTTAGCTCACTTCCTGTTGTGTCTTAGGCATATTTTAAGAGCAGTTTGTAGTATCTAATGACTCCATTTCCAGATGAAGTAATTCATTCATTCATTCATCAAATGTCTGATGAATATCTACTACTATTGAAGGAAGGGAGGCCTTAAATAAATATATCAGATGTAATAGGTATTGTGGAGAAATATACAGGAATCCTGGGAAGGAGTCACTATTTCATTTCAGGAGTTCAAGAAAAATCTCTATGATAATGGGTGAACTAAGCACAAAGAGAAATTGGAATTTGCATTTCTAAACCCAACTCTCTAAAGCATTGTGGAATTTTCCCACTGCTGGGTTTCCTTTGTCTTGTGCACCCACGTGCAGGCTGGCATGGGTGTAGGAAGAGTAAGTGGAGTAACTGAATGGGAATATATGGAAACAGGAGGAATAGCTGGATTTGGCTGTAGGATAGAGATAGACTCTGGTGTTTGCATCTGAATGAACTCTTACAGGGCACGGAGCAGGGGAAAAAATCAAGTGCATGAGCCATGTTGGGATTTTGGAGAGGCCCGACCTGACCTGGTTGCAAACACCTCCCTAACTTGTCCTTTTCCATTAATCAGTTGAACCTTCATTCTGCGTGCTGCCTCTTCACTTTTGCCTACCCAGAAACCCAAAGTTTCTTCTTTAAAATTCTTCCCTAGTACTTATAACTGCTTGACTCCTCTTTCATTTGGGGTTGTGCAGGAAAGCCACTCTGTGTCCTCCGAGAATGAAGTGTTCAATACAGAGTTTCACAACACTTAAGACCACTTAAAAGGTTGGGTGTGAAGGTCAGGGAATCTACCTCCCATCACTTCAGCCTGAAGCACCACAGCAGCAGGTCTCAGATGCCAGTGTGGAAGCCACTGGGATCTCAACAATGCCTGACTGCAGCACGGGATTCTCAAAACTTACCTGGAGCTGCTTCAAACCTCAAATCTGCCTGTAACTACCTGCCTGACAAACAGCCTCTCCTTTCCCACCTTCCGTCTGAGCACCCATTATTGTACACTTTAACCCAGAACTTTATGGAGAAGGGGATTCTGGGAAACCAGAACCAGGTTCTGGTTCCAGCTTCTCAGCAATGCAGAAGACACCTCAGAAGGGGGTGCTAAGGTGACAACAAACAGTATAGTGCAGTCACCAGCCCTCCTAACAGATTGCCCCCTGTCCCTTCATTTGAGGCCATGCTAGCCCCATCTCTGTACTATCTAGCTGGTTTAAAAGATGTAAGGTCTGAACTCTAACACCTGCCTTTGAGATGACGGAGGAGCAGCTATTTCTATTTTTTAACATGGGTATGACTGAGTAAATTGCCCACAGTCAGAGTTCCTCCCAGAAACCCACATCTTTGTTCTGATGCTAACGTTAGGCAACTGTCTTTTTTCAAAGCATGGCAGAATTCATTGAGACCCAATATTTAATTGGATAGTCAGCAGCAGCCACAAGCCTGCCTGTGGAAATGTCCTTGTGTTTGTGATGCAGGGGAGGGAAAAGCAACAAGGAAAGGCAAGCTAAAAATTCCTTCCACCATAACTGCCCACAGAGGAATTAAAGAAGATTCCCTTTGTTGCATCCAGCCCCTACAGTGATAGAGTATCAATCCTCATGCACATACGTATTGAGCATCTGTTATGTTCCAGGCACTGTGCCAGGCACTGGAGAATAAAAAAATAAATGTTCTAGTTATCTATTGTTGCATAACAAACAACTCCAAAACTTGTATGTTAAAATCATAGTCATTCTTTTTGCTCTCAAATGTGCAATTGAGCAGGACTTGGAAGGGATAGCTTCCCTCTGCTCCATGGGACATCAGTTGGAGCAGCACTACTAGTGTCTGGAGGACCCCCCTTTTAAGGTGGCTGACTCACATGGCTGGAATGTTGGTGCTGGCTGTCAGCTGAAAGCTCAGCCAGGGTTGTGGGCTGTGGGCCTCTTCACATGCTGCCTGGGCTTTCTCATGACATCGTGGCTGGGTTCTAGGAGAACAAGGTAAAAGTGAACTTTAATGACCTAGCCCTAGAAGCATTTATTCTGCGTACTCCACTGGGAAAGGCAGAATGAAGGGGAAGGGACATAGATGCCACCTCTTGAAGGAGAGTCATAAGGTTCTAGAAGATGTGTGGGATAAGCAGTAATGTTGGGACCATCTTTGGAAAATACAAGCTGCCACAATATGCTTAGTGTATTTGAGGAGCTCACTAACTAGCAATGAAGGCAGATGTGAAACAGATAGAATACAGTTTGAAAAATTCTATGGAAGCCCTGGGGAATTTCATACTCTGCACAGAGATTTCAGGAAGGTTAAGAGAGGTGACCTGGGACTTAAAGGATGACTAGATATTCACAAAGCCAGAAAGTAGAAGGGCATGGCATTCCAGATGGGAAATAACATAAACAGTGGCATGATAGACTTTTGACTGAGGCCTCAGGGCTCCTCTGTGCACCTCTGCTTCCCAGACAGAGTGTGAATCCCGTGAGGGCTGGACAGATTTCTCCTTGTCCCTAGCACAGTGTCTGGTTCATCATGTCATCTTGACTTTCACATAGTATATGCTCACTTAGCAATTTCCCACGAACATAATTGACATCAGATACAATTGTCCTTCTAGACCTTAATGACAGAGCTAGAAAGATGTGCAGCTTTTAGTCATTTTTTTTCCAAAATATTGCAACCAAATATCATTTAGCCTCTTTACAACCAAATCCATCACACTGTACTCATGTGTAAATAAGAATCATCTCAATGCCAATTTCTTTCAGGCCAAGGATTTTACTAAACAAACTATACCAGCCATTACCTGCAAACTTAGCCAAGATCATCTTGGATCTTCTTCCAAGAAGGTGGTGTTATTGCTCACTAGAGTACTTTGTTTTTCAGCTCCGTTCTTCATTCTCTCTTTTTTCTACACATGTTGAAATTAAAAAGAGTTTTCTAGAAGACCAGGAGTAGAGCAGGCAGAAAAATGAAACTACACTGCACGTGATTTTCCTTGACCTTAGCAGTCCAGCAGGCAGGAAAGAAAAAGTACATGTGGTGAGACCTCGTGTCCATTAGAGTTTCAGAAATGCATTATATCGCCTCTTGGGGACTCTCTTCCTCCTGAGTCTGTAGGTTCCTTTGTTCAACCAGAATATTATTTTGGATTGTATAGCAGTAAATCACTTTGGCCGTCATCTGAGGCTGCCTTGATTCAGTTTCTCAGACTCTAATGAGAATCTTCTGAAATCTACTCCTTTATCAGTGACTCATGGATAACATCATATAGTTATAAAAGGGTAACCTGTTTGAGGTGTTCGCTGTTGCTTCTGATTGTTCAAGGGGATCTCCCCCAACTGCAATTATCTGTAGAAACTCCACTTGAGTGAAAAACTGTTAGTCTTGATTCCTTATGTCACATGTTTTACTTAGTTGACAGAACACAGTTAAGCCATCAATTAAGTATTGAATTTTAGTTTATCATTTCCTTTTTTTCTCTTGTTCCATTTATACATAGCAAAGCTATACCTTAATGCCTTTTTAAAAATAACTCTTTTTAGGGAAAGAGAGTTCTAAATAAACTCTTAAATACTTGGAACTGAAACTTTCTTTAAATGATGTCTTAGTTTATTTTGTGTTGCCACAACAGAATACGTGAGATGGGGTAATTTATGAAGAAAAGATTATCATTTAGTTCATGGTTCTGCAGGCTGGAAAGTACAGGAAGCACAGCACAAACACTTCCTCGGCTTCTGGCGAGGGCTTTTGTGCTTCATCACATCATGGCAGAAGGTCAGAGTGGAAGTACGTGCCAAGGGGCAAAACCTGGGAGGCATCCTGGTGTCATAACAACCCACTTTTGTGGGACTAATCCATTCCTGCAGGAACAGATGCAGCCTCACCAGCGTGAGACCAAGCACCAAGCCACCCACAAGGGCAGCACCCTCATGACCCAAACACCTCCCCAAAACCCCACCTCTCCACACCGCCACACTGGTGAGCACATTTCAACATGAGTTTTGGTGGAGACAAACAAACCATATCCAAACCGTGGCCAGTGGGTTTAAATAGTCCAAAAATGTCATTGGGGAGTATATTGACTGTGATAATAAGCCTGCTGTTGAATTATCCCAACCATTTTTTTATTTGTTATTTTTATTTCTTCAGACAGAGTCTGCTCTGTTGCCCAGGCTGGAGTGCAGTGGCACGATCTCAGCTCACTGCAAACTCCACCTCCCAGGTTCAAGTGATTCTCATGCCTCAGCCTCCTGAGTAGCTGGGATTACAGGCGTGCACCACCAAGCCCAGCTACTTTCCTGTACTTTCCAGCCTGCAGAACCATGAACTAAATGATAATCTTTTCTTCATAAATTACCTCATCTTAGGTATTCTGTTGTGGCAACACAAAATAAACTAAGACATTATTTTTGGTTTTTTTTTAGTAGAGACGGGTTTCACCATGTTGGCCAGGTTGGTCTCAAACCCCTGGCCTCAGGTGATCTGCCCACTTCAGCCTCCCAAAGTGATAGAATTACAAGTGTGAGCCATCATTCCCAGCCCCAACCATTTTTTTAAATCGTCGTTTCATGTCCCTCATTACTTAGCTTTGATTCTATAGTTCATCATCAGGACGACTTACAAGCACCTGAATTCTCTCACTCCTTTATTCCTTTGACTTACTTGCCTGGCAAAGCCCTGACCTTGGTTAAACTGCATCTTGTACCCGAGTGATTTAATGTTGCGGGAAAAAACATGCTGACTGGTTCACTTTACATCATACCACAGTCTCACACGGGTACCAGAGAATGCTCAGTGAGCCTGGTACTTTTGCTTTCTTCCTCTCTATAAAAGTTAAGTAACTTTCTTCCTCCCTCTCTTCCCCTTTCTCTCTTTCTCTTTGCTTCTTTCTTTCATTGATTCAATTTTAAAATTTCAATCATTAAATAATCATACAGTGCCTGGCACAATTCAAGGCACTTGGGATACATCAGTGAACAAATCAGAGAGCCCCCGCCCTTGTGAAACTCACATTCTAGTGAGGGAGACCGTGAACAATAAACATAATAAATAAGTAAATAATATAATATGTTAGAAGGTGATAAATGGAGGACCAGGTGCAGTGGCTCATGTTTGTAATCCCAGCACTTTGGGAGGCCAAGGTGAGAGGATTGCTTGAGTCCTGAGTTCAAGACTAGCCTAGACAACACGGCAAAACCTTGTTTCTACAAAAAGTACAAAAAATTAGCCAGGTGTATTGCAGCATGCCTGTAGTCCCAGCTACTTGGGAGGCTGAGGCAGGAGGATTACTTGAGTCTGGGAGGTTGAGGCTGCAGTGGGCCGAAATTGCGCCACTGCAATCCAGCCTTGGCAACAAGTGAGAACCTGTCTCAAAAACAAACAAACAAACAAACAAACAAACATAAAAGAAGGTGATAAATGATATGACATAAGAAAAACCAGAGCAGAGTGTAGGTATGAGAGCACTAAGGGTAAAAAGATGGTCATTTTAAATAGGGTGTTGGCTAGGGGCTTACTGAAGGTGATGTTTGACTAAGATCTTGAATAGGTGGGGGAGTTAGCCCACTTCACACTCTCTCTCCCCAATCAACCTTCTCATCTGTTTTCTCCGCACCCTCACCTCCCTCAATGCCCCTCCACACACATACACTGTTCTGCTGATAACCTTGCCTATACTCTGATAGAAAATAAAAATGGTCAGACAGGATCTTCTATGACTTCCCACCCTCAACCTTCCCTCCCATCACTCTGTGTGTGCTGTCCCGGGAGCTCTCCTATTATTCGCTGAATCCCCTCTCACCTCACCTTCTCAAGGACTTTGCTTCTGTAATTGTCTCCCCTCTCTCTCCTGCATCATTATTTTTCCTCTCTACTCAGTTGTTACAAACATGCTCCTGTAACTCACGAGATGAAAAATCCCTTGACCCCTATACTCTCCCCTAATGACCACTCCGTTTCTCTTCTACACTTCACAGAAAACTTCTTGAAAGATTTGTCTAGTGTCCTGTCTCCATCTCCTCACCTACCATTCTCTTTTCCAATTTCTCAGTTTGGGCTTTCTCCCTCACTATTTCACAGGGACTGCTTTTATAAAGGTGGCCTGTGATCAAATCCGGCAGTCATGCCCTCTCTGCTATCTTACTGGCCTCCCCAGCAGCTTTCCTCCACGTGGTGAGTCGTTCCCTCCTTAAGAAAAACGTGCTTCTCTTGGCTTTGGTGACATCTTGCTTTCCTGGATTTCTTCCTTCTTCATTGGCTCTTTCTCAGTCCTCTTTGCTCACCTTCTCTTCTGTCTGATCTTCAAATATTAGTCTTTTAAGACTTGATCCTGGGTCCCCTTTTCTTCTGTGTCTCCATCTTCCTGTGATTTTCTCCAGTTCCATAGCTTTATATAGCTTCTGCCTGTCACTCGAGGCTTTGTCATCTCAGAGGCTTCAGGCAGCAGGGTTTACTTTTGATCTCAGGATGCAGAGGTGGAGGAGGAGAAATGCTCCTTGCAGCGACCGGGGACCCAGATAACAGAAGCTGCATCCAGACACCTGCCTCTGCAGGAGGGAAAGGCAAATCACACACCGGACTTCAAGCCTCTGCTCACAGCTAAACGGCTAGACTCATCATATGGCTCCTGCCTACCCTAGTGGGCCAAGGAGCTCAGATTTCCCTGTGCCCGAAGGAGAGGAGAATGGATGCCAACGACACACTAGTGACCCCCACAGAAAATGTTTTCAAATGTACTTTATGTATACATGTACATACATACTCACACGCACACACACACCCTATAAAGTAGGTGAGGGTAATTATATCAGCATTATACCAATGAGGAAGTGATATGAGTTGAGGTATAATCTATCAGGTTTCTCTGTTATTAAAAATCGTAGGAGCCCCATTTCTTGACAGTTTTGTATAACCTTTAGGTAAAAACACTTGATAGGCTATACTGCTGTGTGCCTTGCAGCATCCTCTAATTTTGATCAGCAT